TCTGATATACCATTACTACTATCAATACATGCTATGAAGGAGGCACGAATCAAGTTGGATCTTGGGAATGATACAGCAGAAATTCTTGGACAGAAAGTGAATCTGAACTATACATCATCGGGTCACTACTGCATTCCAATTGACAAGAATGAGCAAATACCAATTGAAGAAGTTCATGCTGTGCTGCTTCACAAACTCGACAAAGACGAACGGTACAAGACTCTCTTTGAAGTTACACAGACAGTTTGCTCATCCTCCAGAGAGAAAGCTTGGCCCTTCTTAAGGATGCTGGGGTCTGGAGAGAAGAGTTCGGGACACTGTCCATGCAATTTATGAGCGGTGTCAGTTATGTAAGATTTACACAAGAACACCAGCCAGACCTGCTGTTGCACTACCAATGGCATCGCAATTCAACGAGACAGTTGCTATGGACTTAAAGAAGTGGAGAAATGGATGGATTTTGCATTTAGTGGACATGTGGTCTAGATTAACTGCGTCTGCCTTCATTACTCGGAAAACACCAAGTGAAGTGATTGACAAGATTGTGACGCACTGGGTAGGAGCTGGATTCGGAGTGATGCAGAGTATCCTGACAGACAATGGAGGGAAGTTCAATGCCGAGGAAATAAGAGAGGTGGCTAGTATACTGAACATCCGAGTTCACACAACTGCTGTGGAAAGCCCATTTCAGAACGCACTATGTGAGAGAATCCACTCAGTGACTGATATGATGCTTGCTAGAATGGAGGAACAGTGCCCAGAAACACCTCTTGATATACTCCTGTGTTGGGCGAATATGGCTCGCAATGCTTTGCAAATGTGGCATGGTTTCAGTAGCTACCAGTTAGTGTTTGGGAAGAATCCAAACTCGCCAAACATCATGAGTGAAACGGTCCCAGCACTTGACGGTGTGACAAGAAGTGAGTCATTTGCTGAACATCTGAACGCTTTGCATGCAGCGAGGAAAGCATTTATCGCCTCAGAAGCAAATGAAAGGATCCGAAGAGCTCTGCGTTGCAAAATTAGAGCCTCGGAGGAAATATACCATCATGGTGATTTGGTGTATTACAAACGTGATGGCAGTGAAAAGTGGTTAGGTCCAGGCAAGGTTGTGTTCCAAGATGGAAAAGTTGTGTTTGTTCGACACGGCGGGGTGTTTGTTAGAGTGTCACCAAATAGACTGGATAAAATCAGGACTGGAATTTAAGTGTGATGGAGAACACTGAAGGACAGACTGGACAGACTTGACATGCAGCTTTCAGAAATGATTGCAGGACACATGTCGAATGAAAACTCTCAAAATGATGAGACTAAGGTACAGGCAGCGGATAACATGACGGATGAAACAACAAACATGGATGAAGCCAAGGGAAGTAAAATCAGTTTGAAGAAGGATGACAAGATACAGTTCAAAGACACATCAGAAGATGATTGGGTGGTTGCTACAGTTGTGAGTAGAGGAGGCAAAGTGTCTGGGCGAAATAAGAATGTGTTCAACATATGTGCAGGTGATGGAGAAACTGTGACAAGTGTGAACCTTGACAAAGTGCATGACTGGATGAAAGTGATAGTCCATGATGTTAACGTGGTGACTATTCCAAGATCAAGACATGATGATATTGATTGTGTGAAGGCGAAATGTGAAGAGCTTGACGTTTACGAGAGCTTACATGTGAACAAGTTCAAAATTGTGGACAGCCTTGTATTTCCACCTCGATGGGTAATATGTCAGAAGGGTGATAAAGTTAAAGCAAGGCTAGTGGCTAGGGATTTGAGGAAGATGGTGTCTTTGATAGAGACTCGCTAACTGTCAGTAAGAGTGCATTACGAATGTTTTAACTCTTGCAGTAAAGCAAAACTGGGACATCAAGACCACAGACATTAAGTCTGCATTTCTTCAAGGAAAAGCTTTAGACAGAGATGTGTATATTATCCCCCCAAAGGACGCTAGTGTAGCTGACGACAAACTGTGGAAGCTAAAGCACTGTCTGTATGGACTGAATGATGCTGCAAGACAGTTTTACCAGAGTGTGAGAGATCGCCTACTGCAGCTGGGATGTATTGAGTCAGTGTATGACCCAGCATTGTTTTACATGAAATATGGTGGATGTCTCATAGGAATGATTGCTTGTCATGTTGACGATTTCTTACACTGTGGACAGCCTCATTTTGACAACATCATAGCACAGTTAGTTCAGTATTTCAAAGCTGGGAAGAGGGAGAGTGGACAATTCAAATATGTTGGTTTTCAGATCACAGAGAATCCTGGTGCTATTGTGCTAGATCAGAATGAATATGTGCAAGATTTAGAGTTCGACAATGTGTCACCTCAAAGGAAATCACAGAAAGCTGAAAATCTAACTGTGAAAGATCATACAGTATTGAGACAGATGGTTGGCAGAATCAACTGGGTTGTGCAAGGTTGTCGTCCTGACATTGCTTTTGAAATGATTGATCTCAGCACCAAGTTCAAGAAGGGTACAGTAGAAGACTTGTTGAGAGCAATCAAGGTGATCAGAAAGCTGAAAGAAAATGAAGCAAAGCTTGTGTTCCGGAATATCGGCAATGCTTCCAGCTGGAAGATAGTTGTATTCACTGATGCGTCACATGCTAATGTGTGTGATGGAGTAGGTAGTGTAGGTGCCTACATTGTGTTTCTTCTTGGTGGAAACAATTGCTGTTGTCCCTTAGCTTGGCACGCTGGGAAGATCAAGAGAGTAGTGAGATCCACGATTGCAGCTGAAACTCTCAGTCTTCAGGAGGGTTTAGAGGAAGCAGTGTATATGCGAAAAATGCTGGAAGAGGTGTCTGGCATTAGTGATGTGGGATACCTGTGTGTGCATAAGTAGATAACAAGAGTGTAGTGGAGGCCATCCACTCCACTAAGCTTGTCGATGACAGGCGTCTGAGGCTGGATATAGCTGCTGTTCAACAGTCTCTTCAGACCAGAGAAGTCAGCGTTGTGAAGTGGGTTCCTGGACATGAACAGTTAGCTAACAGCATGACGAAGAGAGGAGCGTCTGGTCTCCAACTCTTGAATGTGCTACAAACTGGTGTGCTTCAACTCTGATGTATATGTTCACTGTGGGATTGACTTTTAACTCATTTTAAAAATAAAAAAAAGAGCTTCAAGTTTTAAACGTAAATTCAATTTGTGATAGTTTTAATATTTTCACAACACACAAAAAAAGGACATTATAATGAATGTTGATGTCGCCTGCTATGAACTCTGCTCGGCGCATGTTACAGCGTAGCTATGGGGCTTATGGGTAATTCCCGGGTATAAGCGAGTGAGCATGTATACAAGGTGACATGACAGATAAAGAGCGTATGTGAATGAATACAGTGTTTGTTATCATGGAGATGAATTAACAATATCTGTTGGTAAGTAAACAATCTCTGTAATTACAGATAAAAGCTTCGTGTAGGTGATATTTCATATATAAATTATCTACCTTAAGGGTCGTATGATGATACCATCACAGTGGGACGCTATCTTTAGACATTGTTGCATTCCCCAAACGTTGGTCTGTAATCCTGCACTTACTTACTTACTTACAACGGGAAATGAACGACAGCTGACGTGGTAGTGTTCATCTTGGCGAGGACACCCGCGACTGTCAATACAGGAGTATATAGCTCAACTTACAAGTACTGTCCTCAACTTACAAGTACTGTCCTGGTCCCCCGAACGGAGAGTAGGCAGTAGTTGAGATGCCGTTCTTGAGGGAGAACTGCAGAAGGTCTTCCTCTGCCAGATATGGAGTTATCTCCACCTGAAAGTAAACAAAATTGCCAACCCCATATGTCTTTGATTAGAGTGAGTTATTTGGGTGTGCACAGTATACCACATATACTACCGTGTGTTACGGAAGTGATGCAGGGGAGATTAGTGCAGAAATGAGCCAAGGGGTTTGTTTTTTTCTCAGTCCAAAGCGACTTATTTGGAACAGACCATGGCTTAATGCAAATTAGTGTGCGATGATATTGTGTTACAAAGGACACGTTTTAAATGCCCATTTTGAAATTAAACTTAGCTTCATTATAAACGATAGCTGACGAAAAAGTTAATAACTTTAATGCTGAAACTATGAAGGATGTAGCTAGCATGGAGTCTCACTGTCACTATAAAAAGAAAGAGGTAGGAGGGGTCGTCTCAAAAGCGAAATCAGGACGGGTGTCTTAGACGGTGGTTGGGGTCGGGATGGGGGGATAGAGATATCAGCTAAGATAAAATAATCCTTTAGGAGAATTAAACTGGGGAAGTAAACGGCATGTCATAACAATTTACAAATAATAGCCAGTCCTGTCGATATGTGGGTGGTCATGCCACCTATATATTTTGAGACATTATAACAATGGCTGATTTAAACTTTTCTATGGGTATACATATCTCTTTACATATCTCAACATAAACTTTATGAAAGAAAGACACATAAGATGTTAATCAATAGATGGGACATATTTAACACACATGAAAAAGCATAAAATATCTTAGAGATGGCCCCTTTGGCCAGTAGGCAACACGTGCATTTCATGCCAGGTGAGTCGACGGTCCGTCGTCATACCTGGCTAAGCGACCTAATTGCCATCTATAGTCTGATCTATTGTTTTCAGCAGCTCTTCGTATTTTTTCGAAATTTTTCCCGATTTTACGAGTAAACATGTTTTTTCTGGATATCCTATTACGCATCCCACTGAATGCCCAGTTAGGCCGAAGTGGGATATTTCGACATATGCTATTTGCAATTGTGTAAATTTTAGAGATACAGAGTAACAGCCTAAAAAACAGTTTTTTTCTATTTCCGACAGTACTTTAGAAGTATAATAAGGGGAATGTTGTGATGTCATATCTACCTGGTTATTCGCAGACCTCAAATATGCCAAATTGTGCATATATACCGTTGTAAACGACAAATCGAACTGTACATTTGCAAACATGAAAATAATATATATATACGGCGAATCCGTAGTGTCATTTTACATCAAATAGTACGTACCTGGCTATTCGCAGGCTTGTACTTGAGACCGTCCATTTTGAGAATCCTCTCCAGTTGTTGTTTATTGAAGTTGGAGACGCCGATAGACCTGACTAGGCCCTTGTCCACCAGCTTCTCCATGGCCTGTTGGGGAGGAGAGTAATATTTAGTAGCATATGTACAGAGATTCCTTAAAATAGATCTCCAAGACCTATGTTATTTTACACAATATAGCTGTTTCTGTTTCTTAAAACCAAATTGGTATTTTACGAATATATTCTCAAAATTGCATTTAGTGCAATACTGTTTGTCACGGTTATTTAACACATCAGTGGAGTACAAATATTTTCAAGACTGATGAAATCGTAAAACTACATTAACACCAGAAACGCTTTAAAAGCCATTAAATTGTGCATTCTACAGCAGCGACAGTTGAAGTCGTTGACAATTTTCTATAATTGTTTTCTAACGATGTACGTACCTAATGGGACGGAGAGTAGCTAATGTAAAGAGAGTTTTGAAAAAAAATCCGTAGTTTATTAGTATCTTGCCATATATAACGACTTCCTACCACAGGTTATTCTCAGCGTAAAAGAAGTGGTCATGGGATCAAGTAAATATCTAAAATTTGTAAGAAAGTTAATTTTGGAACATAGACATAATACATTATTTTACTCAGTATTGTTTTTTCTGAAGTTGTTTCTTTTTCTTAAATCAAAGGTAGCTATATTCTTCAATGAAATAATCTACAACGAGGCATTAAAGTCTGTTCCTCAATATTATGTTTATTGGACAGTTACCAGTGAGGTGCAAATATCATCAAGGAGAGTTCCTAGTGAAAACTATATTGACACCAGAACAGCTTCAAAAACACCTTACGTGTATATTGTACAGTAGTGGCAATTCAGTTTCTGTGTATGTATTGATATAACTTTGTCATTGCATTGCCCGGCTTTGACTTGGACTGAGTGTATATTTTAATCATGTAGACTTTTCTGAAACTCATTTTTCGTTTTTTAGAGGAGGCTCATCTGTTTATTAGCACTGGTCTTCAGTATCCCATGCTTGTCGTAATAGGCGACTAACGGGATCGGGTGGTCAGGGTCGCTGACTTGACACATGTCATCGTATCTCAATTACGTACATCGATGCTCATGCTGTTGATCACTGGATTGTCTGGTCCAGACTCTATTATTTACAGGTATAGCTTGAACATTGCTAAATGTGGCGTTAAACAGCAACGCACCAAGTTTGTGACTATCGACATATACCGTTTACTGTTCGAAGTATCGCTGGAGACTACCTACTCTCCACGTGTCTAGGTAGTCCGTCATGGTTGGCTTGCTAAAATCTTTGTCCTAGGGAAACACAATTATGCAGACATATACATACACAATGTCCTTTGGAATGAAACATGACTATCGTTACATTACATGCATCAAACAATCGTTTGATAACGTTTTACAATTTATTTATTTCTAAATGCAGTGTTGAAGTTTGAACATATTTGCCCGACACTTTAAGAATGTATTAAAACACTGAGATATGTATATATAATGAGGACATGTAATGTTTACACGCAGAATAATCACCCGAAGAGAAACTTCCGGTGCACCTTCAGATAAAGACTAAACTGTTCACAATTTATGTCAACATTTGTTAACATTTAGATAACCAATAATTTGATATCAGACTTCAACATGGATTATTAAATCACACAAGGCAGAGAAGTCTTGACTCACAACGAAAGGCACGGGAAAGTGTATGAGATACAGATCTATATAATCCATGTCTAGGGCCTCCAGTGACATCCGACACGCTGGCTCCACCTGATGTGGTTCGTGACAGTCAACCCACATCTGCAATGATAACACGCCTGAATGATGACGTACATTTAAATTTCTTGTGAAAGGGTATTGCCGTTATGGCACGGTGTGTTTGTTATAAAATACCCTACCCTACAATGACAACACGCCTGAATGATAACGTACATTTAACGCTGTTGTGAAAGTTTGTTATAAAATACTTTACCCTAGTTTCAAATTAATCTGGTTTAAATCCTACCTTAGTCACAATGAACAGCTCTTCCCTCTTTATTTTCCCTTCTTTGATCAGTTCTTTAATGGCGACTCCGATTTCCGGTTCCGTTTTATAGAGCCAGGCTGTGTCAATATGGCGATATCCGATCTGTATTGCAGCCTTCACGGCATCACCAACCTCGTTTGGCTGTCGGGGAACACAGATTGATAAAATAACTTAGTGTGAAACCAACAAACAACAGTGTGATGTAATGAACAACAGTGTGATGTAATGAACAAGAGTGTGATGTAATGTTCAACGGTGTGATGTAATGAACAACAGTGTGATGTAATGTTCAACAGTGTGATGTAATGAACAACAGTGTGATGTAATGAACAACTGTATTTTAAGATTGACGAAGTGCACAAATCAATACAGAGGTATCACTATGGCAGAACAGAAGAGCGTGGTAATACAATTTCAGAGATAGAATAATACACGCACAATGAATAAAGCAGTAAAGACAATAACGGTGATATTGACCTCTCACTGGGTCTCAGCAACAGTATTCTGACCTCTAACGATAGGCAGGGCGTATGGCCATTACACGCAATGCTGGTAACTTGAGATTAAATGTGAGATGAGGAGCAATAGGTAGCTCCCCAATAGACACAAAAATATGTTTCTAGAAAATTTCGTGGGTGAGGGCATGATGGAAGCCTTTAAAATTCTGTTTAAATATAGCACATTTCTACATATAACACCGAATTTCCCATTACTGAAACCACGGGTACAACGTTTAACTGTTGAAACGTTATTGCACAATGTATTATGCTGTCTCATAACATATATGTTACATGTTACAGGCTATACAGTGTTGCTACCTTTTGTGGTGCCAGGATCCGTGTATCTAATTCCAGATTCGTCCCCATGATAATGTTAATCACATCCAACAACAGAAAGTTGATCGAAAGTGTGCAGTCCACATTTACCCGATTGTCTGCCGTCAACATAAACCTTGAAGTCTAAAGTCAGTATATGCCCGATTGTCTGCCGTCAACATCAACCTTGAAGTCTAAAGTCAGTATATACCCGATTCTACAGCCGACATCAACCTTGAAGTCTAAAGTCAGTATATACCCGATTGTCAGCCGTCAACATAAACCTTGAAGTCTAAAGTCAGTATATACCCGATTGTCTGCCGTCAACATCAACCTTGAAGTCTAAAGTCAGTATATGCCCGATTGTCTGCCGTCAACATAAACCTTGAAGTCTAAAGTCAGTATATACCCGATTGTCTGCCGTCAACATAAACCTTGAAGTCTAAAGTCAGTATATACCCGATTGTCTACAGCCAACATCAACCTTGAAGTCTAAAGTCAGTATATGCCCGATTGTCTGCCGTCAACATCAACCTTGAAGTCTAAAGTCAGTATATGCCCGATTGTCTGCCGTCAACATAAACCTTGAAGTCTAAAGTCAGTATATACCCGATTGTCTGCCGTCAACATAAACCTTGAAGTCTAAAGTCAGTATATACCCGATTGTCTGCCGTCAACATAAACCTTGAAGTCTAAAGTCAATATATACCCGATTATCTGTCGTCAACATCAACCTTGAAGTCTAAAGTCAGTATATACCCGATTGTCTGCCGTCAACATCAACCTTGAAGTCTAAAGTCAATATATACCCGGAGTCTACAGTCAACATCGACCTTGAAGTCTAAAGTCAATATATACCCGGGTGTCTACAGTCAACATCGACCTTGAAGTCTAAAGTCAATATATACCCGGGAGTCTACAGTCAACATCGACCTTGACGTCTAAAGTCAACATATACCCGATTTTCTGCCGTCAACATCAACCTTGAAGTCTAAAGTCAATATGTACCCGGGAGTCAACAGTCAACATCAACCTTGAAGTCTAAAGTCAATATATACCCGGGATTATACCAGCAACATAAACCTTGAAGTTGAAAGTCAATATATACCCGGGTGTCTACAGTCAACATCGACCTTGAAGTCTAAAGTCGATATATACCCGGGAGTCTACAGTCAACATCAACCTTGACGTCTAAAGTCAATATATACCCGGGATTATACCAGCAACATAAACCTTGAAGTTGAAAGTCAATATATACCCGGGAGTCAACAGTCAACATAAACCTTGAAGTTGAAAGTCAATATATACACGGGTGTCTACAGTCAACATTGACCTTGTACCTGGAAAGTCTAAAGTCAATATATACCCGGGGGTCAACAGTCAACATCAACCTTGAAGTCTAAAGTCAATATATACCCGGGTCAACACATATCCGGGAGTCAACAGTCAACATCGACCTTGAAGTCTAAAGTCAGTATATACCAGGCAGTCAACAGTCAACATAAACCTTGAAGTCTAAAGTCCGTATATACCAGGGAGTCTTCCAGAAATGTAACTGTTGTTTTAACCAGTGTAAATCAATACGTTTTAAATGTTATAAAGTGCTACTGAAGTGTAATAGCTTGTATGATAACACTCTATCTTGTCCCAACAAATGAATTTTATCAGGAAATACTCTGTACTCGCATTATAAATTTGGTGTTCTCTATTTCAATAAGGGCTTACAGGGATTTCATGAAATCCCTAAGCCAATATTTCATTAATTTCATGGAATCCCTGGAAATTTTAGGGAATACATGAAATCCCTGGGGGGTCACAGGGATTTCAAGAAATCACTGACTCTTTCAGGGATTACGTGAAATCCCGGGTTTTATGCATTCCCTGTAACATATATATCACAGCCAACCTTGAAACTGTTGAAGGTCCCTAAGCCCAGCATAGGCATGTCATAACCGCTGTTCAGACGTATGCATGGTACTTTGTCCGCCATCTTGGAAAACTCCCTCAGCATCTTGACAAACGAAACGATAAACTCTGTTACTTAATTGTCTAAGGAAAACCTAATGATAATACATACAATGTCAGCAATATATCCGTACAGCTACAATGGTTATTGGTACATGCTATTGTATAAAACAGGCAATCGAACCCAACTCACCCGCGGGACGATCACAGGTGCAGTGTCTTGTCAAAAATAGTTTTTGTCGATCAGCGCCTCACCGGTTCTCACAATAAAAACGCCGGGGTGAATATCCTATGACATAAACGTCGTCACGGAGACTTGATTTTTTATGTCATCCCCAAGACGACGCTAACATGCATGTCATACTTAAGAAACAGAACACCAATGAGATGGGGCGGGTGAGTGTTTGTCAAGAATTAGTGGGAGAGAGAAGTAAAAGGGTGTAGCGAACACTACCGTTCTCCGTATGCGACGGAGTGTGAGGTCAATTCGACCAACTTTGTAGTATTTATAATTACAGTTTAAACGTGAGAATGGTACAGATTAGCAATCGCATTTAAGAGAAGTGAAGAGAAGATATGAAACTATATGAAATATGAAACACAAGCAATATTTGCCGCGTTGACACGTGAGTAATCTATGATGCCCGGGTGGAGTCGCCAGTGCTTTCGACGGAGTGTAACAAAACACGTATCAATTTAGGTCACTGATGTACAAATACATCAAGATGACACCCACGCGATCGCATCATCCTCTGCAACTACCGGGCTCATTCAGTAGAAACCTAAACTACGATATCCGAAAACCACAGAAGATCGATAAACTCATTAATGATTTTTAAATTTATATAAATGTAATACATTGATTTAATTGAATGGCAGTCGAACCTATCATGGTCATGTAAACAACCAGGGGTAGATAACTCCAGTTATAACTATGTCTTATTTCTTTGTACCGAAAGATCTGTACATCCCTGCATCTCGATCTGCGCAAGGTACATGAGCATTTCGTTGAACAAGACGATTGTCATACACCCATGTTGAAGTAGTGTCTTCAGCAGACAGACCCCTGTGTTCAAGCTAACCAGGTTTTCAGAAAGGTTGTACCACCTACAACCCCATTTTCGTTTGTTTCTCAATTTACACACCAACAGAAATGGAAGCGCTTTGTTGACTTTATAAATCTCTCTGTAACTGTCGATATTGCAAAACGAACTGTTTAAAATGCCAACCGATTATGCAAGATATGGATACGTTTCAAATATTGTAAGGAATCACTGCCTTTCCGGATATTTTTGTAGTGTATTATTACTGCATGGATTTGGACGTTGTAGAAGCACGTGGAATTGTTTACATCAAAGCAATGCCACACCAATTAGGAGTGATTTTTGCGAGATGTCATGTTTTCCACGTCAAGTGTATGTGACATAACTTACATGTGTTTTGGATATATGGAAACTGATTCAAGGTACGGTGAGATGTTGAAATGGAGAATGCACAGATCACGTTCTGTAATGGTCTTTGGACTTGTATTAAAACAAGGACTGCCTCTAAAAGGCCTTTTGGTCAGAATGGTGGCCATTACACAGCAGCCAGGGGATATCACTCTAATGGCATGTTTTACAGTAATGCAATATTGTAAACTATTTATGATTATAGCGAACTTCTGTTAGCTGAAGTACAGTTCACCACATCTCCCTTTCTAAGCTAAAACTAAACCTTTCAGTTTACGACTTAAATGCAGGAATGACTGGACTTAAGAACAACTATAATGAGCTATGTTTCATGTTAACCTAAAGTCCATACAAGAGCTCATTACAGAATTACTTGTAACACTGATTCATAAAGTCACTCTTTCCAAATGTGAAGACTCTGCTCACTTACTGCTGCAGCCAGTCATCCTCAGTGGGACTGATTTGGAAGACATATCCTGAATGTACCTTCCCTTCAGCTCCATGATTGCTTTGACCTTGTTAAGGTCACGCTTCAGGCCTTCAGTGGTTATCGTATCTCCAAGGAATGTTAGTTCTGTTACTCCTGCTTCACATTTTTGTCGGTTTAGCTTCAGACGAACTTGTCTACATTTGTTGAGAACTGCTGTCAGTCGCTCATTATGCTGTGACACGCTTTGACCCCAAATAATCATGTCATCCATGCTAGTGTCGGTTCCTTGAATATGTTCAAAGAGTTGACATAAGGTACGATGATACACTTCGGGTGCACTTGATATAGTGAGTGAGTGAGTGAGTTAAAATTTAACGTCACATCGGCAATATTTCAGCCATATCGTGACGAGAACATATTTGACGTTGAAATGTAAACTCAGGGACATAATTTGCCGATGATGAATTTTTGGCAAGAGTTTCGCCAATTTTATTTGCAATTTTAGACTTGCCAGTAATTAAACTATCACCATTTTTAAGATGGTGAACAGCAGACTTTGAACCTTTGCCTTTAATTCTTTTAACCATGTTCCATACCTTAGACATTGGCGTGCGTGAATTAATTTTGGAAACATAATTTTTTTCCAAGATTTCCGTTTGTTTTGTTTAAAGGTACGACGACGCGCCCCTGCATTGAGTATTTTAAATTTGTTTAAGTTATGGACAGTTGGATGATGGCGGAAATAATGCACGGCCCTTTTCCTCACTTTTCTGGCTTGTCTACAATCTGTATTAAACCATGTTTTTCGTACATGTGGAGTCGTAGAGGACTTTGGCTAATATACTCATCAGCTATTTCATTTAACACGTCAGCAAAAGTTTCAATGGGATCAGTTATATCACTGAAGACCAGTTAGCCTTCAAAAAATCCATCTTGTATACAGTGGAGAATCAGATGGAGTTATTTCTGAAAGGACAGTTGGGAAGTGGTCACTTCCACAAAGGTCATTATGTACAGACCAATCAAATTCATTCAGGAGGTTAGAATCTGCAAGGGACAAATCCAGAGAAGAATCAGTGCCAGTTGCAGGATGCAGATAGGTGCTTGAATCATCATTATATATACACAGGTCATTATTGAAAATGAAATCTTCCAGTATTTTACCTTTAGTATTAGTATTAGTACTGCCCCAGAGCGGTTTGTGACCGTTTAGGTCACCCATGATAACACAGGGCTTCGGGAGTTGATCATAGAGTGATTGAAGATCAGTCTGCTGAAGTGCCGATAAAGGCGGAATATATAGAGAGCATAATGTAAATGCTACACCCAGAGTGCGACAGCTTGGAGATTAGTGTTCAGTGTAACAGGGCTGTGAATAACATCCTGTCGTATAAGGATAGTAGAACCTCCATATGCTCTATCACCCAGAGGGGAAAAATAATGCTAAGCTTTAAACTGACGTAAGCTAAAATGATCTGTCTGTTTCAGACATGTCTCTTGCAGACAGAACGCTGATGGTGTTAAATCCTTGATTAATAGTTGTATTTCATTAAAATCCGTCCGTAGTCCTCTACAGTTCCTCTGCACGATATCTTTTAGGTGGATGGATAGGGGAATCTACCCGCACCTTTTTCGAGGGCGACAAGCTATGTGCCCTAGAATGGACGTTTTCGGACACGTCCATGTCCTCAAGTGATCCGTATTTGTTAAATAACTTGATTTTATCACCTGACCTTTTTGGGGCTCTGCTGCTTTGTTTCTTCAAAGAACCTGGCTTCGGTTCGCCTTTGTTTTTAACGATTTGTTAAACGTTTGACGTTGATTGAGACCTTTGAGTTGACTGAGAAGATGTGTCACGGTCATAAGATGGTTCTGATTTGATTTGGGGCGTGCCAAGAAGTGGTTCTGCAGTTTGTGTAGATATTGCAGGTGACAAAATCTTAGGAGAATCTGTTTTGATCCAAGTCAAGTTCGTCTGACAGGTTGCAGATGATTTAGTTACTGTTGTGGTTGTTTCTGAAGATGTTTTGGCTTTGGAAGCATAAGTTTCCTTAATTCCGGTCTCATGGCAAGCTTTCTGGCATCAGAAAAACTTATATTTTGAGTAAACTTTATCTTATTTATCTCCATCTGCTGTTTCCAAATGTGACAGTCTTTTGAGAACGATGAGTGATCACCTGGACAATTAGTACACTTCTTAAAGGTACTGACACAATCTTCTGCTGTATGTGTCTTCTCACCACAGTGAGCACAAATAACAGACAATGTTGAAGTACTAACACCATGACCAACACTTGGCTTTTAAAACATCTCAGTGGGTTTGGTATGTAGGTGTCGACATTGACGTTACAGTACCCTGCCTTTAGTGATCTGGGAGCAGTTGGAGAGGAAAATGAAAAGAGATACGTATTTGTTGAAATGGATTCCTGGTTTTTACGTGTTGTAAAACGCTTTACATATCAGAGCCCTTGATCTTTCATTTCTGAAACAATATCAAGTTCGGACATGTGGGTGAACAATCGATCTCAGTCTCTTACAATTCCTTTGCTGAGCTCACCACCACCACGGAGTATCATGAAGACAGTGCTGATAACAAGTGGATCTCCGACTTGCAGCACCAGGGATACCCGGATGATATACTCCAGCAGAATAATTAAAGAATTAGTTAATCTACAAGATTGGCCCATGAGCCACCACCTTCTGTGTATATGACTCTAGGCAAACTACAAAATTAGTAAAGATACACTTGAAATTCAAGTGATTGATCATTTAGCCAAGACTTTTGTCCAAACCAGTTAAAAAGTTGAAGTATTTTGTACAACACAATAATACACAGGGCTTGGCATGACCAGCCGATTGGTTGAACCGGGCCCATTCAACCACCCGTCTAGGTGAAGTAAGGGGCGAAGTGGTGTGTTGGGCAAAGGAACACTGTTCCTGGAACCAGTGCCCTCAACCACCAGACTCCCGTCCTCCACCGACACAGGGGCGCAACCCACGGCAAACAGGTTGGTGGACCAAATATACCCCCGGGTCCACATGGGGGGTTGAAGAGTTCTTAGCGTTACCCAGCACCCACCAGGAGGAGGTGGCTCTTCACGGGTGCCTGCACTTGATATACCAAATGGGAATCGAATATAGCAATATCTCCCAAACGGATTGTTGAATGTCGCCAAAACCGGATGATGCATCCAGCTTGCTAAATACTTTGTCTCCAGCAAACTGCGACATCACTTCTTCACGAGTCGGAAGTCTGTAATGTTCTCTTTTGATTCCAGCTTTCAAATTCTTAGGGTCCAGACAAAAAGCTTGTTACATTTCTTGTGCACTATTACCACTGAGCTCACCCCTTCAGTTGGTTCTGTGACCTCTTGGATAACACCTAGTGTCTTCATTCTGTCAAGCTCTTCTTTCAGCGGTTCATGCAGTGCAAAAGGTACCTTCCTTCAGGCTTCAATGACTGGATTGACATTCTTATCAACTGTAATGGTATGCTCACCTGTTAAGCATCTGAGTCCTGTGAAGACATCTTTATATTCACTGAGAATATTTGAGAATATGTGTAGGCATTGGTGTGGCACTTTACAAAGCTTTCACATCAACATTTAGTTCATATACTCTTCCAACTAGATCAGGTCTTTCACAGTTCTCAACACCAACTATACATCTTTGATTTTTAGGTGTAACTGCAGTAGGGATGTCCCTTGTAAGTGATTGTCACTTCTGCCTGCCCTTTGACCGGTATAACTATGCCTCCATAAGCTTTAAGGATCACTTAGGCCACCTCTAGTGTTGGCTGGCATTGCAGTTTACTGCATTGTTATAGGCTCATAATGTTCATATCTGAACCACTGTCAAGTTTGAGAGGTCCTTGTGTTCCATTAATATCTAGAGACATTATCCGTGCCTTGTTCCTTGTATCACTTGTGACTGCAGAATCTAAAAAAACATCCAGAAATAATTCAGCTTCTGTTGAAACTGGGTCAGTAACCCGAGCATCATGTACACGTTTATGGTGTGAACGCTTCTGTTTAGTTCTACACTGTGATGCAAAATGTCCAAAACAATCAAATTTCAAACACTTCTGAACATAAGCTGGACATCTCTGGTGTGCATGGTTGGTACCGTAACATCAACATAATTCTTGGTTGGTTAATTTGTGACTGTGACGTTTATCTTTTGGTCTGGTTCTAACAAAGTGTACAGTGGTATCTTCACCAACTTCTTTAGCTTGAGTACTGGTCATTTCTGCTGCATGACATATGTTAATAGCTTTCTGAAGTGTCAGCTGATCATCTCTTGGTAATCTATCACGATATGCACTGTTATGCACACCACAAACGCTCCTGCCTCTGATAGGACTATCCTTCAGAGTACCAAATTCTCAGGATTTAGCTTTCTGTTGTAGATCACTGAGATACTGATCAATTGATTGATCAAGTTGAAAGATCAAGAAGTATTTATACCGTTCAAAAGTAACATTCTTCTTAGGAACACCATACTGCTCAAGTTCTCCAACATTTTAGTAACCTTGATAGCATCATTCTCTGTTTCACATAGAAAACAATTATATACTTCCCTTGCATCCTCTCCTATGGCATGAGGCAGTAATGATGACTTGTAGTGCCAATGTGTTTTCATGAACCTTCATGTGGTTTAGTAATTTGGATAAAGAACGTCTAAACGAATCTAAAACATTATTTCTGGTTTCATTTTCAGACAAATAACATTGAGGTTCTTCTGGATTTATCATCCCATGAAAATCCTGTTTTGGATTTCCATCTATTTTTATGAGGATGACATTATACATCTAATGCTCTCATGTGGATGTCTGATACATTTTATGTAGAAGCCTGGGTGATGTCAAACCCTGATGTCTTTTGTGTCTGATAGTATATATCGATATCTTCAACTGTAAAGATTAAACAGATCCACTGCACTGGGTGCACCTGCATAGGCTGTTAAAATATCATAATGTAAAACGACAGCCTCCGTGGTGTAGTGGTTAGAGCGTCCGCCCGGAGCGGAAGGTCGAGGGTTCGATCCCCAACCGCATCATACCAAAAGACGTTAAAATATGGTACTTGTTGGTCCCTGCCTGGCGCTCGGCATTAATGGGTACAACAAGGACTGGTCGGCTCGGAGTCAGTATAATGTGTCTGAGTGGGGTATTCATGCTTCACTGCGGCGTGGTATCTCAGTGGGCTAGCACTATAAAACCAGCTTAAGTCTGGGCTAGTACAAGCAGCCACACATATACATACACACGCATGCACGTCGTCATATGAGCGAAATATTCTCAAGCACGACGTAAAACCCAATTTCACCTCACCTCACCCATAATATAAAACAACATACAGACATTATACGTTTTGTCAGAATAGATCTTCAAATATGTATTGTACATATGTCAGAGATACCAAGTGATGTGTCTACCATAGAAATTGGTCTCACGTGACGCCATGAATCGTCCTCGAGAAATTATTATGCACATACTGGTTCGAGACCATCTTCACCAAAGCGACTTTGTTTGGGACTTTGCTATGAGATGCATGTTAGGTGCATGATCGAAATGAAAATGAAAAGTCAGGATTCAAACTACATCCCACCAACTACATACATACAAAAATTTGCTTTGAAATGTATATATTTTAACATATTACAATCCATAGTTTTAAGTTTGAATTGTGATTCCCTGTAAGGATATTGTTTCACGTTACAATTTTGGCCAATCTTACTAAACACAACTAAAATTGTCGTTTTGAGTCCTGATTTTGACATGATAGACGAAAGATGGTACGAAAGAACGAACGAACCTCTTGAACACGTAATCAAGATGTTATCAAAATCAACATGTTAACATTTACATGTGAAACGAAGGTCGTCAATGAATGTCAAAGTAAAGAATGTTGCGAAGACGATGCATGTGTTGAGATCTACAACCAACCACACCAATTGTGAAACAAGAGTACAACGGTTTATTTTCAAACAGGTGTATATATGAGTTCAACTCGGCTTTCAGCCTCATGTCCTGTTGTATATGTGAACGATATGAAGCGACGAATGTCGGATGATCAGACAATGACACAATCTCACTCTCAGTAACAACAGGACTAGTTTTTGACGACATAGTATTTTACAACAGAAAGCTATGTGAACAATATCATTACTTTTCATATATTACCAAATGAGTTCATATAAAAGATTGGTAAAAAGGCTCATGTTCAGAATATACATAACAACTGCAGCAGTATGACAACAACAACATCCATAACAGATCGGTGCAGAAACTAAAACATTTGTTTTAAGTGGGATAAACACGGTTATTCAAACCATTGTTTTAGTTTTCACAAAATTCCTTGCAACATCAAGGCGAAGTTACGGGAAGGTACAATATGTCCACCTGGGTACCATTTAAGAGGTGTTGTTTGATGGTCAACATACTCCAGACGCGTAGATCGATCCTCATGACAGTCACTGGATAGTATGGTTCACAATCTATTGTTAACAAACCGCAGGAATATGTCTCTGTGTGGCTGTAAACAACATCAAACAACATATACTACCACTGCTACAACTACTTCTACTATGCATTTGATATAATACGTCAAATCTACCCTTTAAAGAAGGCACAAATCACTACATTATTACCCTGGTAACTGACTCAGTGTGTACTCGAGTGTCACTCATGTTTCGTAATTATGCAATATCATCATGACACATTCGTATTCGACACACCTGCAATTATATTCAATGGGTGTTTGTTTCACATTGAAAACTATCACGCAAATAACGGGAATAACTGTTGCAGACAATACTCTGACCGTCGTCGATTTTCTGACTGCGTGATCTTCTGTGCCGTGCATGTTCACTCCTTATAGGGAAAGAAGGGATGATCTTTCCATCTGGAACACAGGAATCATGACAGTTGATTGGGCGAAAGTGTGACGTTCATGTTTACGTATTAAACAACTCATTTCCCAATCGTTTTATCCCCCAGCACACGATGCGGAGGATACGCCTCGTCTGTCCGTCCGTCCGTAATCATTTTGTTTCCAGAGCATAACTCAAAAACTGTTTAACATTTTTCAACAACAATTGGCAGAGATATCAAGCGGAACCTAAAGTGGTGCCTTTGCTATTTACAGATTTTGGCATTTTTATTTTCTCGATTTCCATTGCAAGAATTTAAACTTAATCTTAACAAATGGCGGGTTTCGTTTCTGGAGCATGACACATAAGCCGCTCAATATCTATCAACAAAACTTGGCACATATATGAGACAGATCCCCAAGTGGTGCCTTTTGCTATTTGCGGATTTTGGGCATTCTAATTTGTTTTCGATTTTTATGGAAACGATTTGGACTTAGTCTCAAAAGGAAGGGATGAGCTTTGTTTCCGGAGCACAATTAAAGAACCGTTCAATGTCTTTCAAGACAACTTGGCAGATATATCAAACAGATCCCGAAGTGGCGCCTTTTGCTATTTGCGATTTTTTGTCATTTCTTCTTTTTTTCAATTTCCATGGAAACGATTTGGACTCAGTCTCAAAACGAGGAGTGGGCTTCGTTTCCAAAACTTGGCAATTGTGTCAAACCATATCTTGAAGTGGTGCCTTTTGCTATTTGCAGCTTTTTGGCATGTATATTATTCATGTTTTCCATGGAAACGATTTGGACTTAGTCTAAAAGATCAAGTTGGACTTAAACTAAGTAAGTGTAAGATGAATTGTTCTTTCAAATTTGTGGGGGCCGGGGGAACACCTGGTGTCATCACTGATATACATGTATAGTGATCCGTTCAAGTAACTTATGTCTTTTTACATCACACGGACTTTGTTTATGGGGAAAGGCAAGACTGGGTATTCTTTTTTTCTCTTTTGCACAGACGTTCTATGTGTGATTTAACTTGGTCGATGTTACTGCTAATGGACTTAAGTCCCAAAGCTTCACCATATGCATTGTGTGTCATCTTCCATAGAAACCTCATCTCCATCCCCAACCCCTGGCTGTCGAAATGAAATTTCCAAAATGTACTTTTTTACTTAAAAGGATCGGAATCTCTGGACTTCTACACAGCAGTCCTAATGCACAATCTCCTGGTAACATCACTGATCTTTAGCGATCCATGAATATTATTTTCACAACTATTTCTGTACTTTGTTTCTGAGAATAGTGAAGAGTTGGTATCACAGTCAAGCATGTGCTGTTTGACTGTGTTGATGTTTGTGTCACAAGGGATAAGCATTTGAAAGTTTCAAACTTGAAGGATCTTTTCAGTGTCAGTCCACATATAGTTATTGTTTTTTTTAAAGAAATTGAATTGATTGGTAAATATGGATGAAAATATATATTGTAAATATTAACTATATATCAATTTTCACTTTGGAAGAAGAATTCAATTATTTTGATTGTTAGTGGCTGTACCTTCAACCTGGTTGAGGCATTGTAAAATAATTGTCCTTCGGAGAGGGTACTTGAGTCCATAACATTGAAAGTATTTTTCATCTTCCTTGTTTTCAATAGTAGCATTTTTTGTCAGTTTTAATTGTTTGGTTTCACTGTCTGATAATCGCCAGTACCCAAAGGAATGGTGTAAATCCATCTGGGGTACCATGCAGGTAGCAGAAGTACCGTAAGCCCGAATGGTCCCTAGTATGTTGGCCTAACTTTGGATGCTGGTGATTTTGAGCCCAGTTTTAGAATGTACCGTCGCATTTTAATACTTAACTACAAGTTTTAGACCTATATCTGTGATGATCTAGTTATTGTACCGTCTGTTGCTGACAGGATTTTTTGTTTGAAATGGATTATTAGTGTCAAACTTGTTTTAGTCAGGATATGATTGAAATATTGCGAATATGACTGTAAATATTAATTCACTCACTTATTTAATATCCATCTTACAAACACAATCCCCAAGTGTGTATCATGACTCCCTCTAGAGACTGCCATTAAAATTGTGATTACTTGAATGTTTGAAAGTTGTTTCTAAGGCCTCTGTCCAGAGCTAGCATTGTCTTCATGTCCTCCTCACTGAGCTTGAAATCAAATATCTGAAACAAGTAGGTTTGATATGTGAAACAACATTCAAAATAGGCATTACGTATCATTTTAAATGTACTTCATTATCTTCATACAATGTCGGAAAGAAAACAGTTCAGTTGTCTGTACCTTGTGTCCTCTTTAGAAAGTCCGATTCACGACAGTGATATAGAACGCAGCGAACTAAATCACATGTTCCTGTAAATCAGTATTAAGTTCAGTAAGAGAACAAACACTCACATCCATGTTCTGGGCCAGACGAGTGGGATTCGTACTCTTGGGAATTAAAGCATAGCCTCTCTGTATGCCATATCTGAGGATCACCTGATGCACACGAGAAAACATTTGGGTCAGAGGTACATCGCAAAAAGCAAACCATATCCGTGGAAGGACTGGAATCATAAATAAGAACCGTTCTACAGGCGGAGGGGTACAAAGAACCAATCTCCCCATCTACCAGGAGCTGCAGAACATCGTATGTGGCATTTCTCTTGAGACCAGTATTGCATCATAAATACCATATCTCTTAGGTCCAGTATTTTTATCGTTTATACATTATCTGTTAGGACCAGTATTCCAAGATTACATCGAAAATAGCATATCTGTTGGGACTAGTATTACATCGTGTTGTAAAGAGTAAGTGAACAAAATGGGATACACATCTGCAAATATATCTGTGTCTACAGTGTTTCTTCTGGAACAACAAAAAAAACGTCTTTAATTGGTGGTTGGAAAAGAAGCATTAAATACTAGTTAGAGGACAACAACTGAGGATTAACATGCACATTATATCATTTATAACACGGTGAAAGGAATAACCAGTGTAGATTATCCACTGAACACCAGGTGTTTGCGTATGCATGCCCTGCTGGTAGCACCCACCACTCAAATGACGAAACAGCTGTTGTCACTTTTGTGGTTATTTAATAACTACCCTACTACCCTTCCCTTGGGGTGCCTGACACGTGTGGAAACATCGCCCACAGTACATTTATATATAGCATCGCCTTAATGTCCACTGCAGACTTCACCTAATCATGAAGTGAAACGGTGGATTTTCGTTTCGACACGTTAAACTATGAAATAAAGATACATCAGTCTGTTTGTGCACGTGCCATTACAAACAGCAAGCCACTACATAAGAACCACTATAGTCCGTCAACTTAACTTTTGGCACTCTGTTTTCACAATTTATATAAAACTCTACTCTATTTTAAAACACTACTCTGTTTATGTGGTAATTGTATACCGTGACCTAACAAGATATCGATTTTAGTAATTATAGAACGATTATTAAAGATTTTGCCTTTAAACCTGTCATATAATAATTGTAAAACTGTGGAGAGTTTTACGAGGGGTTAACGCACCTGATGGAAAAGTCAACAACACTGTAAAATGTGTGTCAGCGTGATATGTACATGCACGGGTATTTACATTAGCACGCTTAAGTGATGTCAAGATCGTCAACACGCACAGGTTGTAGGGAAAACGATGTTGTACAAAGATGACCGGCAAATCATCAAAAGAGTTTACAACTTTTTCAAGCGCGAGGCAAAGCGAAAAAACTCTTTTTTTTTTAATTGAATGTTTCTCCAAAAGACATTTAATGCCACGAAGATCTGCAAAAGAATATTGCAAAGAGTTATCTCCCATGACACTATTTCAGAGCCTGACGATGACATGGCAGTTAAATCGGGGACCGTCTCAAAAAATGCAAAGAAAACAAAGCTTGATGAATTCGATAGAAGGGTTGTGAGGGACGTCATGCGTCGGTTACATTGATCCATATTGTCAAGCAAACTGAAGGAAATATTGTTCAAAAGAAGACCATGACATCATTGTATCAAAGCATACCATATGCAAGCTGTTGCTCAAATTTGGATATAGATACAAGAGATCAAGCAACCAGTCTTTAAAGACTTAATGAATCTACTTGTTTAAAATGGATGTATGATGATTATAGAGTCCCTGTAGATTTGCTTGCAGGCGTAACAATGTAAACAAGATGCACGCGTGTCACGCCATGTTGTTGGCTGTTCCATCGTATCATTTTACTCCCTTGTATAACTACTTCTGTGTTTTTCATATTTTTATAAGATGGCTTCTTAAGAAGAAGCTTTAATAATTGACATAAAATTAGAAATTTAAAACCTTGGGTAGGTCATAAGATATAAAGAACGTATGCACAAAAAACATTTTGAAGGCATTTTGGTGAAAGGTAAATTGTGAAAACAGGGTGCCAAAAGTTCAGTTGACGGACTTATAGTACGTCCCTGTCAACATCTGGCATTACTGTGAGTTCTAACCTCTGATTGACCAATGAGAAGTGGTTTAAGTTAGGGTATAATTTAGATATATGCATGTGCGACTCTGGGATATTTTATTTATGTAACAGAGGAAATATACCTGAGCTGGAGATTTGTTGTATTTCCTTCCGATTTCGACAATGGTCGGGTCTTCGAGGAGCTTTGGTGCATCTTTGGATACACTGGAAATATATGAAGTTAAGAGTCGTCAGTGAACTCTTCAATGCAGGCTAGGGTGTAGCAAATACTGAAATCGATATTTATTTAACTGTTATTTGAAATTAAGTATGTATGGGATTATCTTGGTTATAAATTGCAAGTTCAAATCGCAGTTTTGTTGTGGTATAAATGCACGATATGAGGGCTTCCTCTATCAGCCGTATCTTATCAACTCTGCCCAGTGTGGACCAGATACTCATCCTCAAAACATAGACTTGTCGTCAACACTGTTGTCTGGATTAAAAAATGGAGCACGTGTCTAAATTTCAAGACATCTGACTGTGAAAATACCGGGCTTTCAAAGAGACTCATCTAATGGGAGCCTTTTGTATACACAGTGTTTACATGTACATACTTATGGCTGCTACTCATATTATTGTAATTATAATTGTAAGCAAAAGCTTGAGCGTTTCAATATAAATTGTTAACTAATTATTGATCTTGTACACAGTTTAGTTCTGATGTTCCGACTTCTCAGTTAACGTTCATCTCAAATCCGGAATCAACACAACACAACTCTCCACTTGCTCTCGGTGTTGAAGGGACTACTCCAGGTGCGGTAGAGTGTGTGTTTCTGAGGATCGCCGGAAGTGTTTTGAAACATTGAAAAATTCCATTCAGAGTTATGTCCCTTGATATTATAAAATGGCGGCTTCGTACACCCAGTAAACTTGACCTGGAATCAAATGCAGACCCGACTGATGCTGAATATGGATAATATCCGTTATCCTTCCGCTTGCATTTGTCGATGCCGCACCCGACAGTGTCAAGGTGCTTGACAAAAAACGCTTCCCTTAGGTGATATTTCATATATACATGATCGACCGTAAAGGTCGTATGAAGATACCATCCCAGTTGGACGTTATTGTTGGACATTGTTCGACGTTCCCAAATGTAGTTCTGTAATCCTGCGCTCGAAAATGAACTTCAGCTGACTTGGTAGTGTTCAGAGGGCGAGGACCCCGCTACTGTCAATATAGGAGTAGATAACTCAACTTACTAGTTCTGTCCCGGTGCCCTGAACGGAGCATAGGCTGTAGTTGAGATGCCGTTCTTGAGGAGAACTGTAGAAGGTCTTCCTCCGCCAGATATGGGGTTATCTCCACCTGAAAGCAAACAACGTTGCCAACACTATTGCAGGTCGTTTATTAGATTGAGTGAGAGTGGGTGTGCACTTTTATACCATGTATACTGCCCATGTGTTACGGAGAAACTTCTGAATGATGTAGGTCTCTTATGTTTACCAGTTTGCTGAAATCCACGAGCACAGGACATATTAAAAGTTTAATAAGGGCTAATCAACAATGTCATGTCTACCTGGTTATTTGCAGGCTTGTACTTGAGACCGTCCATTTTGAGTATCCTCTCCAGTTGTTGTTTATTGAAGTTGCAGACACCGAGAGACCTGGCAAGGCCCTTGTCCACCAGCTTCTCCATGGCCTGTTGGGGAGGAGAATGATATTAAATAGCTTATGTACATAAGGTTTTTTTCAAAGTAGATCCCTTGATCCCTATCTTGCCATATATAACGAGTTCCTACGACAGGTTATTCTCAGCGTCAAAGAAGCGATCATGAGATCACGGATATATCTATTTTTAACCAAGTTCTTTTGGGTGAGAGCGGTGGAGTAGCCTAGTGGTCAAAGCGTTAGCCCGTCACGCTGAAGTCCTGGGTTCAATTCCACACATGGGCACAATGTAAAACCCAACTCACTCACTCACAAAATACATTATTTTACTCAATATTAGGATTTTCTCAAGCTATTTCTTTTTCTTAAAATAAAAGGTAGTTAACCAGTGTATTCTCAACATTACATTCTTCAGTGTAATAATCTACCACGAGGCATTTTAAGTCTGTTCCTCAACATTATGCTAATTGGACAGTTACCAGTGACGTACAAATATCATCAAGGAAAGTTCATAGTGAAAACTATATTGACACCAGACAGCATTAAAACACCTAAAGTGACTGTTGAAAGTCTGATCCGTTTCGTGCATGGACCGCGCAACCCTATCTCTTCGAAGCCATTCATTGACAATGTTCTGTATCTGTAATGATAATACTCCGTCAGTGTATTACTCAGCTTTGACTTATGCTGAATGTATATTCCCATGATATTCCGATTCGACTTTTTTCTCATGTTTCATTTTCTAGGGGAGGTGGATTTACCAAGTTTGTAAGTAAAGACTTATACGGTTCAGTGTTGGAGTTAGGCTGGAGGCTACTTACTCTCCACGTGTCCAGATAGTCCGTCATGGTCGGCTCGGTCCGTTCCTTGTCCTGGGGAAAAGTAATATGCAGACACAGACATACATGCATATGCTTTGGAATGAATCTCGTTACATTACATACATCAAACAAAGGTTTGATAACCTTTCTTTTCAAATCCAATGTTCACTTTTGTACATCTATTTCCCTGACAATTTGAGAATACGTAACACTGAGATATGTACACATAATGAGGACATGTAATCGTTAGTAGAAAGTAGTCGCTGAAGTTTACACGCAGAATTGTCTCAAACCTACGTCGGTGTGTCTTCAGATAAAGACTAGAGTGTTTACAAATGTTGACAAAATTTCGATACATTTATTAAACAATGATTTGATATCCGACTTGAACATGGATGGTTAAATAGCAAAAGGCAGAGACGGTTGTCTCACTACTGACTGCCAGAACATACTAGTAGATGGTTAAACAAGGCAGGGAACCAACCAATCATGTAATATCAGACATGGTTGCCTCACTACTGACTACCAGAACATGGATGGTTAAACAAGGCTGGGAACCAACCAATCATGTAATATCAGATATGATTGCCTCACTACTGACTACCAGAACATAGTTGGTTAAACAAGGCTGAGCAGAACCAACCAATCATGTAATATCAGACATGATTGCCTCACTACTGACTGTCAGAACATGGGTGGTTAAACGAAGCAGAGAAGTCTTGACTCACAACGAAAGGCACGGGAAAGTGTATCTGAAACATATCTATATAATCCATGTCTAGGGCCTCCAGTGACATCCGACACGCCGGCTCCACCTGATCTGGTTCGTGACAGTGAACCCACATCTGCAATGATAACACGCCTGAATGATGACGTACGCTTAACGCTGTTGTGAAAGGGTATTGCCGTAATGGCTCAGTGTTTTGTTATAAAATAACCCTACCCTAGTTTCAAATTAATCTGGTTTAAATCCTACCTTCGTCACAACGAACAGCTCTTCCCTCTTGACATTCCTTCTTTGATCAGTTCTTTAATGGCGACCCCGATTTCCGGTTCCGTTTTATAGAGCCAGGCTGTGTCAATATGGCGATATCCGATCTGTATTGCGGCCTTCACGGCATCACCAACCTCGTTTGGCTGTTGGGGAACACAGATTGAAAATCTACTGTTACGTATCAGCCCGTAAGAACTAAGTGTAAAGCTATTAAACAAACAAAAAATGTGCTGTAATTAACAATTGTATTCTAAAGTTGACTGAGTTCACAAATCAATGCTAAGTTATTGAGCGAGTGAGTTTAGTTTTTCTTCCAGCCATATGGCGACGGTCTGTAAATAATCGAGTCTGGACAACACCATCCGGTTGATCAACAGCATGAGCATCGATCTGCGCATCTGGGAACCGATGACATGTGTCAACCAAGTCAGCGAGCCTGACCACCCCATCCCGTTAGTCGCCTCTTACGAAAAGCATGGGTTACTGAAGATCAATTCTAACCCGGCCCTTCACGGGTCTCTAAGTTATTACTATGACAGAACAAACTGGAGTACAAAATACAATAGTACAAATTCAGAGGCTGTATAATACACGAGCAATGATTATAGCAATAAAGACAGAGATTGTAATTGTCACCTCTCAGCAAACATTGTTGGTCTTCTGGTAACTTGTGATGTAACGTGACATGAGACGCAATAGCTAGCTCCCCTTATATAGACAAAAACATGTTCCTACATAAGTTCTGAGGTTGAGAACACGATGGAGGCCTCTAGAACTCGGTCTAGATATAAAATAATAATCATAAATATCCACTTGTATAGCGCTTGTTTCCAGTATAATCAACTGCTCAAAAGCGCTTGTGAGCAATGAACTGTCCTGGGAATACACAGTCTAACAGTAGCAGACTTTTAAACAAATGTGTTTTCAGTAGTGATTTGAATGATTCAAACTCAGGGCACTTCTTATTTCAAGTGGGAGGGAGTTCCATAACTGGGGGGCTGAGATTTCGAAACTTCTCTCGTCAAGTGATGTACGAGCTGACGGAATCTTCAAGAGACACTGGTTACAGGAACGTAGAGTTCTCTCAGGTTTGTATTCTTGGATGAGTTCAGAAACGTACGGAGGAGCATCGCGGTGGATAGCACGGAATGTCAGAGTCAGCACTTTAAACTTGATTCTGTCCTCAACCTTGAGCCAGTGGAGATCTTTCAGGATTGAGGTGATATGTACTGATCTTCTGGTTTTCTTGATTAGTCTTGCGGCAGAATTCTGGACTTTCTGAAGTTTAAAGACAAGACGTTTTGGCAGCCCGAGAAGAAGGGAGTTGCAATAATCCAGATGGGAGATTACACAGGCTTGAACGAGCAAAGTTGTTGTTTTGTTGTTAATAAACTGTCGTATCTGACTGATGTTTCGGATATTCATGTGAGCTTTTGCAGACCCGGCTTACATGGCATTCAGCACTGAGTGTGGAGTAAAACATGACACCAAGATTTCTAGCCTCCTGGCCAGGTTCGATGACACAAGACAACTTAAGAATGGGAAGTGTTAACTTTGTTCTCATGGCTTTTGATGTAATCACAAGCATCTCAGTCTTTTCCTCATTCAGCTTTAAGAAATTCATGGTCATCCAAGTCTTGATGTCTTCTGTGCACTCTGCAATTCTGGAGAAAGCAGTATTAATTGAGGTTTTATCCTTCGGCTTGAATGATAGATACAGCTGTGTATCATCTGCATAT